CCACCTCCACTCAGTTTAGTGGGCCGTCGGCACACATGTGGCTCCACCAAGGTGCACTGTTTTGTTTTCTTTTGTTTATTTACACCCTCCCTTTTTTTTTCCTATCTCTAATGTTACCCCAAGCTCCAAGGCAGTGCCACACGACGGGGACAGACACCGTGGTTTCTCCCAGAGGGGCTCACTTTGAAGGTTTTTGCTTGCGGCATCACAGCATCCTGTTTCAGCTATGTTGGTTGGGTGACCCAAAAACAAATAAATAAATATTCCGGTGACCGGATTTTTGGTGTACCGCCGGTTTATATTAATGCAAACATGACATACATGGTTACGATTATGAATTATGACCGCAAAAAAACAAAACAAAAAAAAAACGCAAATATGGGGACATCCTCGCTAGTTTGGTGTAGGGTGGCCATGCAGTGACGCGTACGGACAGGATATTCAGACAACATTTCATGACAAAATTGAATGTGTCGAATTTCGTTAATTTGGGAGTCAAACAAACACCAACTGACCATCAAAAGTGTATGTTTGAATTTTAAATAGCCAATTCCTATGAATGGAATAAAGACAGAAAACAAGGTGGGGCTTGACACTGTAAAATAAATGCACTGAATGCTAGTCAGTTGTTTTAGTAAGAATTCAAGCCTACCTAATTTTTTTCAGTGGACCACGGTAGTCAGATGCATGGGCCCATATTATGAATTAAAAATTTTTTGGTTGTTTATGAATAAAACACACTTATAGAACGACTTAAATCTAGTTTATGTTGCTCCCTAATATAGACAAAAAAAACAATTTTTGAAAACAAACCAAATTGCAAACTGCAGTGTATTTGCAGTGATAAATACCCATCATTGATATGACTGACAAAATTTCTAAAAAAAAAAAAAGATGGGCACTTTCATGACCGCGTTGCACCCATCACACCAACCGTGCAAATCGAATAGTTTGATTCAACCTTAGTTTGGCACATGCTTTCTCAACTTTGCCCTGCGGGGAAGATGCTTTCCATTTGTCAAGAGCTTCATTTCTTGATGGCCTCTGGGCTTGGAACGTCCAAAGGAAATCCAGCAACAGAAAGCCCCATTGTTCATAAGGACACAGAGCCACCCGCAGGTCTGCGAACCAACTATCACTTTCACAGTCTGCGAATGAACGCCTGTTTTTTTTTCCAGTCCCATAATGGTTTGCGAGACCCTTCACATTGGCGCAACAGAACAAATGTCACTCACCCGTGAGGTTCCTCAGGCCCAACTGACGCAGGCCAAAGTTTCCGTCGTGTCTGTAGTTGAGGAAGATCGCAAGGGAGTAGTGGTCCTCGTACAACTTTGTCCCGCGGATGATTCGCAAGTTCTCCAGTGGCAAGTAGTCAAACTGGTTCAGAGCCACCAGGACATAGCCTGTCACTTCCCGGATCGACTGCAAGCAGAAAGAGGCAAGGTTCTGTTAGGGTCTAAAAACAAAAATAAAAGTCTGAAATCTGAACCAATCCCATTCGAGTCTGATTTTATGGACTTTTGGAAATTGTCTTCATACTTGCATTGCAGGGTTTTAATGTTTCCTGTGCAAACGTTTCCAAGGTTAGTCCCGATTGCTAATCTGACTCCCTTTCTTTGAATTGCATTTTTTTAAAACTGCTTTTTTTTTCTGTCGAGTTCAGAATAAATCTTCTCTGTGAAGCTCCATTTAATAAATAATAAAAAAACAAAAACAAACAATAAATAAATACATAAATATAACAAAGTAATCAAATGATTAAAAGAACAAAACGGAAACAGATATGTACATTAGGGATGATGCATTGACTTGAACATTCTTGGCAGAAACCAGAATACCACAACAACCTATTAAAAAAATAACAATAAAATAAAATAAATACAAATTCCTCAGTTTGATCATTTTATGCACTTGGCCAAATGTGTCCAAGTGCCAGCTCTCGGCTTCCTTTTGAATGATGCAGATGCTTTCACACCCACCGGAGACGGCGTCCTCCATGGTCCGCCAGCCTCCTCGCCGCGGGGCAATGGCTAACCCGGCGGGAGGAGGGATTTCCACCTCCACTCAGTTTAGTGGGCCGTCGGCACACATGTGGCTCCACCAAGGTGCACTGTTTTGTTTTCTTTTGTTTATTTACACCCTCCCTTTTTTTTTCCTATCTCTAATGTTACCCCAAGCTCCAAGGCAGTGCCACACGACGGGGACAGACACCGTGGTTTCTCCCAGAGGGGCTCACTTTGAAGGTTTTTGCTTGCGGCATCACAGCATCCTGTTTCAGCTATGTTGGTTGGGTGACCCAAAAACAAATAAATAAATATTCCGGTGACCGGATTTTTGGTGTACCGCCGGTTTATATTAATGCAAACATGACATACATGGTTACGATTATGAATTATGACCGCAAAAAAACAAAACAAAAAAAAAACGCAAATATGGGGACATCCTCGCTAGTTTGGTGTAGGGTGGCCATGCAGTGACGCGTACGGACAGGATATTCAGACAACATTTCATGACAAAATTGAATGTGTCGAATTTCGTTAATTTGGGAGTCAAACAAACACCAACTGACCATCAAAAGTGTATGTTTGAATTTTAAATAGCCAATTCCTATGAATGGAATAAAGACAGAAAACAAGGTGGGGCTTGACACTGTAAAATAAATGCACTGAATGCTAGTCAGTTGTTTTAGTAAGAATTCAAGCCTACCTAATTTTTTTCAGTGGACCACGGTAGTCAGATGCATGGGCCCATATTATGAATTAAAAATTTTTTGGTTGTTTATGAATAAAACACACTTATAGAACGACTTAAATCTAGTTTATGTTGCTCCCTAATATAGACAAAAAAAACAATTTTTGAAAACAAACCAAATTGCAAACTGCAGTGTATTTGCAGTGATAAATACCCATCATTGATATGACTGACAAAATTTCTAAAAAAAAAAAAAGATGGGCACTTTCATGACCGCGTTGCACCCATCACACCAACCGTGCAAATCGAATAGTTTGATTCAACCTTAGTTTGGCACATGCTTTCTCAACTTTGCCCTGCGGGGAAGATGCTTTCCATTTGTCAAGAGCTTCATTTCTTGATGGCCTCTGGGCTTGGAACATCCAAAGGAAATCCAGCAACAGAAAGCCCCATTGTTCATAAGGACACAGAGCCACCCGCAGGTCTGCGAACCAACTATCACTTTCACAGTCTGCGAATGAACGCCTGTTTTTTTTTCCAGTCCCATAATGGTTTGCGAGACCCTTCACATTGGCGCAACAGAACAAATGTCACTCACCCGTGAGGTTCCTCAGGCCCAACTGACGCAGGCCAAAGTTTCCGTCGTGTCTGTAGTTGAGGAAGATCGCAAGGGAGTAGTGGTCCTCGTACAACTTTGTCCCGCGGATGATTCGCAAGTTCTCCAGTGGCAAGTAGTCAAACTGGTTCAGAGCCACCAGGACATAGCCTGTCACTTCCCGGATCGACTGCAAGCAGAAAGAGGCAAGGTTCTGTTAGGGTCTAAAAACAAAAATAAAAGTCTGAAATCTGAACCAATCCCATTCGAGTCTGATTTTATGGACTTTTGGAAATTGTCTTCATACTTGCATTGCAGGGTTTTAATGTTTCCTGTGCAAACGTTTCCAAGGTTAGTCCCGATTGCTAATCTGACTCCCTTTCTTTGAATTGCATTTATTTAAAACTGCTTTTTTTTCTGTCTAGTTCAGAATAAATCTTCTCTGTGAAGCTCCATTGGCTTCTTTTTAGATGCTCAATCAGTTGATTTACATTTTGCGCAAACAAGATCCAGCTAGATATTTTGTCTTTTGTTGTACATTATAGGCTACCTGTGGGATTCCCTTTGGCTGACTTGGAGTCTTTCCTGGCTTGAGCTTTTGCCAACTCCCTGTCTGGACTGCTTTGTTTCATTGCGTTAAGACCTCTTAACAGGTGAATAGACTCAGAGTGGCATTCTGCCAGCTGCCTTTGTAATTAGACATGTTCCTTTGGCTCAATTTGTGTCATCACTCCACCTGATTCCAGTTCCTGATTTCAACTATTCAGCATGCAGGAAGTATCCCCCCCCACCCCGCCCCATTACATTTTTAATTTTTGTTTGCTTTTGGTGAAACCTGAGCACAAAATATCGAGCGGATCTATTTTAAGCTTGAAGCCTTCCTTCTGAAAATCCAAACAATATTGAAATAACCAGATTGCTTGATCAAGTGATTGGATGTGCAGAATGGAAACAATGAACCAAAAACGGTATCAAAACGGAAAAACGGAGGTGTGTGTGAGTTTCGGAGGGGTGGGCTGGGGGTGGGGTGGGGGGTTGCATCATATCATTGACAGCATGTGCCTCCGAGGTCACTCTCTACATATTCGATCATGCCAGCGAGTTGAATCAGAGCATCTGAGTGAAGAATATTTGCTCCGGGGTTGGAGACCACATTGCAACACTTGCAGTAACACAAGGTTCACCGCTCGTGTCTCGTCGGGGTCCCGGGGGGTGAGTGCACCACGTGAGCAGGCATTACTTCACACTTTAAATGTTATTTAGGACTGGGTATAATGTCTGCGGAGACTTGGGCAAAAAGCCACCGAGAAGAAGCCGATGTTGAATAAATCAAAGCGACAGGCTGTGCACTCTTCCTCCCATCCGCCATCATGGTTGCTGTCACTAAAAGACAGGCGGTCAGATACATCTTTCCACACTGGCCTGTTGATAATCAACAAGTGTGTGCGTGTATGTGTGTGTGAAATGCTATTGCAGCTGATGCGCGGAGCTGATATAAATGCTTAGGAAGCGCTGGTCTAGCGGCATAATCATAGTCGCTGACAGCTGTCAGAGAGCATGGCCATCCACCAGGAGTAACTAAGCCGCGGCTGCGGCTCTGGCGTCATTGCCCCGCTCATTCCCATTAATCGGAACAGGCGGTCCTCAGTCTGGTGAGTACGTGCGGATTTAGTTGAAACAATGACAGCAAATATAGCTGCGTGGTGCGAGTGGCCTTGTTGAACTGTGCGTGGCGCGGGGTCTGACAAATTTATGGGGACCAAAATATGAAGTTTGGCACGTTGATACAAACGGAGTTGAGGCCTTAAGCTTGGGTTAGCTGATAGAAAAAGACAATATTGTCTCAGGGGAAATGAGTAAGAAAGTCGTACATCACATTGGAACAGGATGAGGGCGAAATGTTTTTGGAGGAAGAAGTCACTTTGTCCATGAGGACTTGGTTATATAGACCGCGGAGGCAGAAGACCGATAATTCAAAGTATGAATAGTTTCTAGTTTGCTTTTCCAGCACGGACAAATAAATAAATAAATAGATAGATAGAAATAAAAATAAATAAATAAATAAAGGAAAATTAAAGAGTGCTCATTAAATTTAGCCTTAAGGCTTAAAAGGGGGGCCAGCGATGCGGCCCAGTGCACAGCCTTATGGGAATAAAAACACTGCATTTGGCAAAGGGTCTATGCAACTTGTTTTTCATCTTGCAAATGTTTACACAAGAATTCCGCAGGAAATCATACAAACACGTCATGACGACCAACTTTTGTGGGTGAAATGAGCTCAGTGAAAGTCCTCACACCCCTCGGCCAAAAAATATCTATCTCTCCACTTTATGTCATGCTTAACCTATTCAGACTATCCCAGCCAAATATTTAGTGATGATTAACACGATTTAAACGGTGGCGCACGGACATCATGACACAAATAGACGTAGTTTCCGCTTTGTTACTTTCTCCTGTTAATAAAACACATTTCATCCACAGCACAGGAATAAAGCAGTCGGGTTTTTTTCCGCCTCCCTCCAAAAGTGTGCTTTTGAGCTGCGTCTCTGAGTTTCGCCAAGATTGTTTCCTTCCGCTTGTGTATTTTGGGCCAGTTGCGCACCAGACGTATGGCCTTATACGCACGTATATATGTGTGTCTATATACACACACTGTGTTATTTTCGCCATAGAGACAGAAAAAAATCCATCAGGTTAGAAAAGGGGTAACGCAGGGCTCCTGTTCGGGTTTTTGTTTATGTTTCCATGGCCTTTAAAAACCTGAATACTACCAATAATTGAGTTTTAAAACTCTCATTGACCGCATATAGAACATGCTGCTGTTTACTGTGGCTCTGTTTCACATTATATTAAGATATAAAAACATTCTTGTTTGCCTACCTATTGATATCAGACGGTGATAATAGTGATATGTGATGATGCAAGACAGTATTAGAGCAAAAAGTGATGCAGTATATGTATATCCTGCTCCACTCTGAGAAACTACTACCACAATATTATAAATAAATATTCAGGGATGATGTTCAGTTGTCCAAATTGGAACACTTGGTTTAAATTCAGTCGTGGAACAGCTGAGGCCTGTTCAACAATTCGCATTCTCCCTATCGGGAGGGGTTGCTCAACCTTAAAAGACAACCCAACATTTTAAGTTCACAGACTATGAAAAGCTCAAGGTTCAGTGACATTGCCTGGGGAGCCGCTCCATATTCTTTCGGTTTAAATTTACCCAAAAGCAAAGAGTGTCACAGAGCAGTACGTGCCGTGAAATTTTGCGACATTCATGTGGGCATACGCAAGTAAAGACAGCAATTATTTCAGGGCAGACGCACTTCATGAACTTGTTTATACGCAAGTAAAGACAGCAATTATTTCAGGGCAGAAATAATTGTTCTTCTTTTAATCAGTCTGACTTGCACAGGTGACGGTTGAGTTGAGTTATGTTTCAGTGGAATTCGAAAAGCCGTTAATTACCTGCTAAAGACAACACCAAATGCTTCAACTGACATCCAGTCAGCAACGCTATTGAGTAATTTTAAAAGATACTGTAACAGTAAACGGTGAACTGGCATGCGCGACAGCATAATGTTGACATTGTAAGCTAGCCAATGCACCCGCCTCACACACATGCATCCCCGGAGAGCACCAAAGTCCCAGTAACAGTGAACAAAAGAGACAGCGAGAGCCAGATTCACTAGATTAAAAGGGATTTCTCCCCCTTCCTCCTCCTCAGGCCGGAGCATTTGTGAACGGAAGTGTGGCAGCGGAACAAACCCCTCGCTTGAGTTACTGAGACGTGCCCAGTTTTGAAATGGAATCCTCCAATCCCCAAACTTGTAAATGGGACGGCGAAGGAGGGAGAGGGAGCTTTGCTGGAGTCAGCAAAGCGAGGAAGGTGAAAGGATGATGAAACTGACGCAGGGATAGAGCGGCACGCCGCGGAATGATCAGTCAAATGGATCGGATTCCACATATTTGAATAAGTAATTAAATCTGTGGCTGTTTTTAGTTCCGAACAAGAAGGAGGGATTGCTGAAGGGTCCGGAGTGGGGTGAAGGATGGCTGGAAGTCTCGTGACACAATTACCATGTGGGAAAGCACTGAAACACGTTAGCATGATTTTTCTCGTCATTTCCATACAAGTTGATGAACATACAAATATTCAAGTGAAGGCATGCGTGCCACGGGTTACTGGTCAATGATAAAATGTTGACTTTTAGTTTTGCTGAATTCAAATAAAAGCCCATTTTAATCTGTTGCGGTTTCTCTGGCGGTATTAGCATGTAGCGATGAATGCTACAACATCACACGGAGACGTTTCTCCCAGTTTGTTTCACTTATGTAAGACAAATACGGTAAAGTATCCAGAAGACTTCTCAGTACTGCTATACTTTTTTACTACTATATATATATATATATATATATATATATATATATTTTTTTTTCGGGAGGTGCAGTTGTCACTTTATGGATTGCGATGCCAGATAGCAAGCGCCATTAATTTGAGGCTCAATTTGTCTCGCACATCCCACCTTGACACGGAAGAGATGAAGACTGATCCTGAGATTGAACAGTGGAGAGACACCCGCTTCCCGCGAGGAAGACTTACAGCTCCATCAGAGCACTTGTAATGAGTGGACCCCTGTTGGGAATTCTGCAAATAGACTAATTTGTAATTGATTCAGTGCATTAATTACCATCCCGGTTATGCCTGTGTCATGGTTAATACTGTGCCAATCTGACGAGGCTAGGAGGCCCCTCTGCAGTGGGACCATTCGGGTGAAGCAGGCATTATTCAATTATGCCCCACATATCGGCAACCAGGCAAGTCTTAATCTGTGAGTAATCACTTTCCTGCGATGCCTAACTACAAGCTGATGTGAGGAGGGGGGGGGGGGCAGTGGGGGGGGACCACAGATCCATGTAGCCCCTGGTTAGGTCTTTAATCAGGCTTGGGAATAAATTCCCATTGGTGTTTTGATCATACGACCGTTGGAGAAGAGATATGACAGAACGCAGGTTTTGCAACGTTTCAAACAGGAAATGTTCATGCGACATTGCATGTATTCTTACAGGTGTGGGGAAAGTCTGCCGTCGATTAAAATTTTGTACAGCATTTTAACCACATGCATGCATGCAAGCATCTCGATTTGCTGCCGGAATTTTCTTTCAAAAAAACACACCTCCTCCCAT